AGCTCCAGTTTTCTCTTATTAGCATGAGCATAATATACCTTTTTCTACCCCTTTGCTTTTCATCTCTGTGTGTCTTTGTGTTTGAAGCAGATTTCTTGTAGACACCGTAGAGATTGGCTCACATTTTTTGTCCGCTCTTAAGAGTCTACTTCTTATATTTAGACCATTCACATTTAAAGTGAATATTTATATCATTGGGTTAAGATCTATCATACATATATTTGTTTTCTGTTCCTTGCTTTTGTTTCTTTTTTTTGTTTTCCACTTTCTTCCTGCCTTTTCTCATTTTTTTTTCCCCCTTGGCTGCACCAGGCGGGATCTTAGTTCCCCGACCAGGGATCAAACCCAGGCCTTCAGCACTGGAAGTGCCAGGTCCTAACCACTGGATGCCAGGGAAGTCCCTGCCATTTCTCATCTTAATTGAGCATTCTATGTGATTCCATTTTCTCCTCTCAGTGTGTCAATTATACTTCTTAGAACCAGTCAAATCCACTTTCAGATAACACTGCCTGCTTCAGGGTGTAGCCACATTATCAATCTCTGCCTCAGTCTCTTATAACAGCTGTCATTCACTTCACTTACTCACAAGGCATAACACTGAACCCATCGTTTTTATAGATCAGTTTGGAACCACAAAGGTTAAAGATTTTACTTTACCCTCATTTATTCCTTTTCCAGTGCCCTTCTTTTCCTTTATGTAGGTCCAGTTTCTGACCTATATCATTTCATTACCTTCATTACCACTTTAACGTTGAGCACTCTGTGGGTCTCTCTGAAGCTGTCCTGCAGGCATGCAGGTGGGTCAGATGGATGTGTACAGACTGTTAATCACAGTGCAGCCAGGTCCTCCGAGAAGGCCCAGCTAACTAGGGATTAAGAGAAGACGAAGCCCAGCTGCAAAAACCAGGGATTGGCCCAGCCTCCCACACAGGAGCCCCCAGCCAAGGCAGAGGCCATGCAGGAACCAGCTCCCAGATGGACGCAGGGACAGGACCCCCTGCCCTCCAGCCAGCCGTAGGCTGGCCCAGACTGGATTCCATCAAATCCAGGATAGCCCCTCAGCCGTGCTGTGCTCTGCCCTGCCCAGCCTGCCCCAGGAGGGGCTCTCAGCTGGCCTCAGGGTCTCCCTCGGCCGCCTGGACCTGGCAGGACAGCAAGCGTGTTCCCTGAGCAGAGCTGGGATGGACGCAGGGAGTTGCCTGTGCGTCAGTTACTCGCTGAGAACCCGCAACACCTGCCAGGAAGACGTCTCCAGGAGGTGATGGCGCCCACGGCCTCCCTGCCCGAAAAAGTCAGCTCCAGAGCCACGGGGACTTCCTTCCAGTCTCTTTTTGGGTACAGCTTTGCAGTTGGTTTTATCTTCCTTGCCCCACTTGACACTTTGTATCTGCCGCTTGCTGGTGGGCGGTGACCTTCCCCGCACTGTGCAGGGGGTGCGGTCACGCAGGGGGCAGAGTCCTGCCCTCAAACCGGGTGTCGACCTCGACCTAGGAGGTCCTGAGCCCCAACTTCTTTCAGCCAGAAAGAAGGGCGGGGACAGTGTGGCAGAGAGCTGGCCGCCCACGAAGGATGGGCCGGAGTGCTTCTCATAGGACCCTCAGGAAGGACCTTTCACAAAGTCGTTTTCATAAACATGGGATACACCTTCCCAAGCCTAATTACAAGAGGTTTCTGTAAATGAGACAAAGAATGTAAAGGCTTTTAACAGCAAATTGCAGCAATTTGCCAGAATTCTCAAACCCTAACAACAGTTGTTGTTTTCCTTCTGATGCTTCTTTAAGTGAATGTCCTAGATACTAAAGGTTAATAGTACAATTCCCAGCTGTCCCCTGGGTTGCCAAAAGGGTTTGCCAGTGGTGTGGAGACCCCAGATGAAATGTATTTTCTCAACCCGTGCCTCGTTCCCTAATTGGAAGGAAATTGCTTAATCCCATGTAAGTGTAAATGCTGTTAACACCCAAAGATATTCTACGGTAAAGGGAACTGTGGTTTGTAGCAGTCTTCTTTTTCTTAATTCATTTAGCAGACCTGCCAAGGACTGTGTGAGCCTCTGTGCTGACACCCCCTGGGGTGGGAGCCCTCCCCGCCACCTGGACTCTTGACATTCATGAAGACACACCTTCGGCTGTATTATAAGCTCTTATTGGCTTAACTTTTCATTGCTTTGACTCAATCTTGATTAGATTTGCAAGAACAATGAAATTAGCTGGGCAGCCTTTTTAAAATCAAGCTGTATTATTTTCATTTTTAAAAAGCCATTCAGGGATGCATTGCATGAATGCATTTTGATAAACTGAGCCTACTTAGTTCTCATCATTCTGTTTTATCCTCTACAAATAAATTTTCTCCTAATGTTTGTTCTAGTGGAGAATGAAATTCTTTGCTCCAAGAGTGTGAAGGATGACTATTCTATCTTTCTGGAAACTTAGGTCACATCTTACTTTTTTTTTAATGTCTGATTTCACCACTGTTCAACAAGGATGGTCTGTGATTTGCAGTGAATCTTGATGGTATGTACAATGCTTCACATTCCAAGAAAATCAGACCAACTCAGTCCCCTGTTTAAAATTCCTTTCTGTCTCCTCATCCCTTCCAAGACCAAGTCTGGAATCCCCAGCAAGACCCTGGATGGTCCTGGCCTGCCAGCCTGCGGACTTCACAGCGGTCGCACCTGCCTCTTCTTTCTGCCTCTTTGGCCTCCAGCCCCACCTCAGGGTGAAGAGTGGGCCTGTGCCTCTCCCTACCTGCAGCCCCTCCTTGGGTCCATTCTTTCGGGAAGTCTCCCCTGACAGGCCAGCCTAGAGGCCTCTCTTTTGCACCTCTGAGGGGTCTTTTCCATTTCTCAATTTAGCATTTATTTCATGGTTTTCTTTAATAAACTGATTTTTTTTAGAGCAGTTTTGGGTTCACAGCAAAACCGAGCAGAAGGTACAGAGCTTTTCCGCGTCCCCCCACCCCCATACACACACAGCCTCGCCCGCTGTCAGCATCCCCCCTGGATGGTTGATGACCGCGATCGACATGCCATCATCATCCAGAGTCCATAGTTTACAGCAGGGTTCACTCTTGGTGTTGTCATTTTATGGATTTAGACACACTTCGGACATGTAGCCATCATTACAGCGTCATACAGAACAGTTTCCCTGGCCTAAAATCCTCTGCGCTCCACCTCCTCAGCCCTCTCTCCCGCTTAATACCCGGAAACCACTGATCTTTTCACCATCTGTATAGCTTTGCTTTTTCCAGTATGTCCTACAGTTGGAATCATACAGTGTGTAGCCTTTTGAGCTTGGCTTTTTTCACTTAGTAATACGCATTTAAGGTCCCTTCATGTCTTTTCACGGCTCGAGAACTCATTTTTAAAAAATCATTGAATAACATTCCACCTTCTAGATAAACCAGAGCTTATGTATCCATTCACCTACTGAAGGACATCTTGGTTGCTTCCATGTTTTGGTAATCACGAATAAAGCTGCTGTAAATATCCACATGCCGGTGTTTATGTGGACATACATTTTCAGCTCCTCTGTGTAAATACCAAGGATCGTGATTGTTTGATTGTATGGTAAGACTGTGTTTAATTTTGTAAGAAGTTGCCAAACTGTCTTCCAAAGTGGCTGCACCATTTGCATCCCCACCAGCAATGATGAGAGTTCCTGTTGCTTCACATCCTCACCAGCATTCGGAGCTGTCAGTGTGTGGGCTTTGGCCCTTCTCATAGGTGTGTCGCGGTGTCTCATTGCTGTGTTCATTTGCATTTCCCTCAAGACATGATGCTGAACATCTTTTCACATGCTTTTCTGCTGTCTCTGTATCTTCTCTGGTGAGGCGTCTGTTCAAGTCTTTGGCCCAATTTTTAATCAGGTTATTTGGATTCTTATTGTTGAGTTTTTTTGTTGTTGTTGTTTTTTGGGGGGTGGGGTGGGGCCGTGCTGTGCGGCATATGGGATCTTAGTTTCCCAACCAGGGCTCGAACCCGTGATCCCTGTATTGGAAAGAGGATTCTTAACCACTGGACCACCAGGGAAGTCCCTTTATTGTTGAGTTTTAAAAGTTCTTAATATATTTTGGATAGCAGTCCTTTATCAGAGTGTCTTTTGCAGATACTTTCTCCCATATTTCATGATCTTTTTACTTGTTATTTGTTTATCTGCTTTTCCAGCCTGACTGTGGCGTCCATGAAAGTGTAGATTGTGGCATCTACCCTTGTGTTCAAAGTGCTATGTGTATATCCCACACTAAAGAGCATTGTATATGTATTTGTTTGTTGAATAAATAAATCACAAACGTTGGAGTAAAAAAGAAATGAGGGAACCAGAGAAATCACATAAGAAGAGATACTGACAAACCAATAGGAATATTTCTCTCTCCGTATCAAAGAAGTGGAACCTAAGCTGTGGAATTCCAGCCTACTGTCCAGGAGGCAAATACTGCCTGTGAGTGTCAGTGCAGTGGGCGGACGTGGGCGGCAGGAGTCGGAGGTTCTGTGGGAAGCGCCTCTGAAAGGGGTTCCGCCATCTCTGTGCTCACGCGCTTGGACGCAGTAACCCCACTCCATGAGCGCATCCTAAAAGAAGGGTCCAGCACAGAAGGAGCCAGGTAGATAAATGCCCACCGCCTCGGGCTAGGGCACTTTGGAGACCTGGTGTCCAGTCAGGAGAGTGGCCGAGAGAACCGTGACCTAAGGGGACAGCCATGCAGCAGCCTAAGGGCAGGACGAGACGGTGCAGGGATGGGGTGCTTGTCACGGCCTCAGAACATGCACGTTGGAAAAAGGCAAAAATGAAAATACTTGGTTAGTAATATGCCTGAGCTTTAAAACCTGCTCTTTGTTGTAATTTTGTGCAATAAATGGAAATTATAAAAAGTTTAGGAACATTTAAACTCACAAATGAGAAGCAAACCTGGGGCACCTCATGTTACCGTCTGTGACCTGAGGGGCAAAGAGAAGTTGGGAGACAGAGCCGCCTCTGAGCCCGGGTCTGCTTCCCTGGGCCTAGGCACTGTGGTTGCTGTGGACGAGAGCACCGCCTGCTCGTGGCCTGCGTGTGACCTGTGTGGCGGTGAGAGACTGGAACGGAGGCCGGAAGACAGGTAGGGACAGCGGCAGCAGCAGCCCGGGACCCCACTGCCTTGTGCCTTGTGCCTCGGGCCAGGGGCCAGGCCCAGGGCACACGGAGGAGGCCGGGCGCCATGTTTTCTCTCCTCACGACTGGGGTTCTGCGGTTCCCCGAGGCTCTTCCTGTCTTAAAAGAGAGAAGAGCCAGGTTTCCTCAGCTTGTTATCAGGCGGGGGAAAAAGAACTCGGGGCTAACATGAACGTGAGACACACGTGGTGACGGCACAGCCGACCTCTGCAAGCAGACATCCCTGCCCAGCCTTACCGCCCCCCACCCCGGGGCCCGTCCTCGGCGCCGGTCCTCCGGCCCCCCTGTGACTGTCGGAGGCACGTGCACAGGGCGTGCCATCACGTTCCTGCTTCTTGACGCCTCACAGGTGGTGGCCTGGACAGGCCTTCCTTGGAAGCAGGAAGGAGCAGAGACACTGGTGGTGGTGGGGGCAGGTTTGCGGTCCAGCCCTTCCCCTTGTTGACTGCGTGCTCAGCCGGGGGGGCCCCCACGCCGGGCGCCGCGACCGTGGAGCCCAGGCTGCTTGGGGCCTGTTCCAGGAGCCGGGTTTCTGAGTCGCCCTCTAACACGGCAGACGGACACTCGCTCGCGTGCAGGGAATGAATGTCCGTGTGTCTGCCTGCCGCCAGGCTCCCGCGCTCTGTGCCTTCTTGTTTCCAAACAACAGGGGCGCCTTCTCCTGTGGGGACTGCTCCCGCGTGGTCACCTCTCCCCTTCTCAGAAGGCACCTGCAGGTCTTCCTGGACTGCCCCTTGCGACCCCAGTGCACAGTGAGGGTCAAGGTAGGAACTGGCGGGAGCTCATGCATCCGCGTCCACCTACTGTGCGCCCCCTTCACCCGCGGCCGGGCCGGGGCTGCATCTCCTGCTCTTTTCCTGGGAAAGGGGGCAGGGCTCCCCCAGGGGCCGCAGCCCTCCCCTGTCTGACTTAAGGCTCTGCGATGGAAGCTGGTGGCTCAGAGTCACACGTCAGGTCTCGGTGGGGGATCGTTCCGGGTGAGCGGGGTTGGGGTCCTGACCCCGCCCGTGGCTGTTCTTGCAGCTGCTGCAGCACAGTATCTCTTCGCTCCTGAGGTTTGCCGCCTGCGAGGACGGGGTAAGTTGGGGCGCCCAGCCCAGTTGTGTGTCCTTACTCTCCTGCCCCGTGTCCCTTGGCCGCTAGGGCCTCCGTGTGCCACGTGCGAGCTGAGAGTCCGGACTCTCCCGAGACTCGGCTAGGCCTTCTGCTCCCTCTTCTGACTCATGCCCGAGTCGGCTAACGAGATCCTTTCCTTTGGAATCGAGGTTATTTTCTGATCGGTCTTGCAGTAGACACACGAATCTGTCCCCCAGCTTTGATTGTGGTAAGTCGGTCTTGAGGTTTCAGGTTAAACCTCCTGCCTTGGTTTCACGTTAATAGGACAATTACCTGAGACGCACGTTTTTCTAAATTGCTGGGTCTCTAGTCCGAGTGTCTGGAAACTTGACTGTTATTTCTCAGATCTGCCCTGTTACTGTGGTGAGCTTTGTAAAGAGGTGTGAGGTGTGCTCCTCAAAGAAAGCACCACCTGAGCACACATACCTTACCTTTGGTCCTCATAAAGGAGAGAGGTCTGTCCTTGTCAGAGCCATTTGAAAGCCCCCCAAGTGGCCTGTGGAATCGCTGAGCCCTGGAGAGAGTGCTGTGTCTGTGCCCTGCTGGGATCCACATCCAGGTGGCAGATATGGGCCAGCTCGTGAGACTACTGTGAAAGGGGAGGCTCACACTTGCAGAACTTTCTGATGGGTTCCCAAAGCAAAATGCCAGCTCTGATGCCAGCCCGAATTTGGAGGCTCCCAGGCTGCTCTCCCGGCCGCTTGCCAGTCCTGTCCCAGCCCGTCCTGGGCTTGGGGTGTCGGGGGAGAAGCAGCCCATGACACTCTGTCATGTGCACCGGATGTCAGAGTTTGGAGTAAATTGGAATGTGGACAAATCTGTGCACAGAACCTTTAAGGATCCCTGGTCTGACTGTGGTTCCAGCTCTGATTCCTGGCCTCGCGCATCTCTTGAGAGCAACTCGGTGACCCCCGCAGCGCAAACCTTCGTCCGGGGGGCTGCTGCGCGGTGGGGATTGATGTTTGAATCCTGCTGTACGAGGGCTTATAGACACGTATGCCTGACTGTATGACAGTCCGTGTCAGTAAGCGTGTGTGATGCCCGGGCACCATGCTGCCCGCTGTCCCCGTGCTGCCTCACCTCCTCCCCAGCATCCCCGTGGGCACAGCCCACGCTGCCCGGGAGGCGTCGGGGCAGGCCCGCCGCACGCTCCCTGCTGGATGCAGAGACACTGCAGAGCGGGGCCATCGCTCTGCTCACCACCTGCAGGGTAGCCAGCCCGGGTAGGGCCCGCAGGGGCCTTGTGTGTGTTGAGCTCTCGTGGAGTCCTGCGTTTCACGGGTGGCGAGGCAGCGGTTCCTGGGACTGCGGGTGCTTAGGTGAGGCCAATGGAGTGGGTTCCAAGGTGGGGCTGCAAACAGGCACTAAAGCCGGCAGATCTGGGTCATCGGAGAACACGTTCCTAGAGGGAGTGCTGCTTAAGGAGAACAGAGCGAAATGAACCCAGCAGAGCGCATGGCTGAACGCCTGGGGACGGCGCCCAGAGCACCTGCCGGCCCTGCGGTTACTCAGGCGCCTGCCGCCCCTGGGCCCCCGGCTCCCAGGAGGGTGGCCCTCAGCCACCTGCTCCATCCAGGGACCTGGCAGGAACCCGCGTTCACGTGTCGCTTCGGGTGGAGGCAGGCTGTGCCTCCCCAACAGTAAACTCCCGCTGCTCCTAGAGACACAAGAGGCGGGCATGCGGCCCAGTTGGTGAGCGCCTTGGTGACCCTGCGTGGCTGCTCTGCTGTCAGAGGCGAGGCCGGTAGGACTGGGGGGCACCAAGCTCCTAACCCCCCTCTACCACCCCCCGGTCTACGCCCGGTGGATTCTCAGGCTTTACGCTGACCTGGAGGGAAGCAGACACCTTCCTTCCTACCTGTAGGAGATCTCCCGGGGTCATCGGCCACGAGGCTCATCTGGATTCTGTCGGTTTTCAGGGTGAGAAGGTACATTCGCCAAAATCCAGAGAATCAGATGAGGACTTTACACGAGAACCGCGGCTCCACTCCCGGAACAAAATGTGCCGCTTCCGGGCCGGCACACACACGTGCCTTTAAAATAGAGGCACATTTTACACACGCGCGTTCGTATGACCGGCACGTGTGAGTTTGCTGGTGTGACTGTTTTAACTTCTCCGTCTTAACTTCCCCCAAATACAATGTATAGTGTAATGTCCATTTATAAACGAGACTCGAAAACTGTAGCTGCCAACCCTGACACTTTAAAAAGAGGGTTTCTGCGGACTTTTCTTCCAATGCCAAGGCCCATGCTCGTACCCAGCCGCCTGGGCCCACACCCACACGCAGGTGCAGCCCCTCAGAGCCGACACAGCGCGTCCAGCATCACGGTGTCCTCCCGGCCCTGGGTGAGGACTGCCCTCCCCGGCGTCACTGCCGCCTTCCTGCCATCGTGGGCTCCATAGAAGCCCTGGGAGTGACCTTGACGTCTTGGCCGCGGGAGGCTCCCCACTGTCCAGTCGCATCCTCTCCTTCCCTCTCTCTGCCTGCCTGGACCGGTGACTCTCGGCCCCGCTTCACCCGGCGTATGCCACCAGGAAAGCCGCAGCTCCCTGCGAACCACGGTGGGGAGGCCATGCCTGTCTCGTAGGCGGGAAGACAGGCACGGCGGTGAGCTGGCTTTAGGGCAGCGTCCACATCCCAGACTGATCTGGACATTTACTGCTTCAGAATGAGCCGTCTCAAGGCTTGGTGCTTCCACACCGACTCTGCACACAGACCTGCAGTCTGGACGAGGCTCCATGGGGCAGCAGCTGGTGCCCCAAAGCTGGGCTGGTGTCTCAGGAGGCCCTTCAGTCCCCGGCTGGCTGCTGTGCTCCTGTCGGCTAGGACCTTCCCGGGCTCTGGCCAGACACCCACATGGCCTGGACGCCCTCACAGCATGTGACTGGGTCCCGAGCCGGGCAGAAGATGGGCCCCGGTCCTGACAGAGCCTGGGACACACTCAGTGCCCCTCCCGTCCCACTCTGTTCACGAGAAGCCAGTTGGCCACCCAGCCTGGACCCAGGGGGAGGGCAGCGAGGTGCCTGTCAAGGAGCTACAGATGTGCCAGCTTTGGCCATGTTGTCTGACACCCGCCCACCCCCCCGAGTCCCCTCTGCCAAGACACTAATGGTGGAGGGGCGAGGCAGCAGTGAGCTCAGTCACCACAGACGCCCGTCAAGTGTCTGGCACAGAGGAGGGCGGAGAGGTACTCCTGACGTCACTTACTCTGCAAGTGGCAGCAAAGGAGTTTCCGAAAGAACACGTGACCTTCTAGGGCTTCAGTCTCCAAAGACCAATAAACCTCTATTTTCAGCCCCACCCCCAAAAGAAACTGTTCTGAGGTGTGATCCACGGAGACCAGGAGGGCACAGCACACCTTCCCAGCCTGCTCACCTTGGGCCCCTGCCGCCTGTGGCTCTACATTCCCGTGTAGAAATGAAACTTGCCCACAATTCACCAGTTCCCTAAGACAATTCAACAATGTGAAGGAAAGGCTTTCTGTGGCATAGGAAGAGGTGTTCAGCTCAGTGCAACTCTGGGAGAAATGGGATCCTGTTAAGGAGGGAAGTTTAGGGCAAAGGAAGTCCTTTGACCGGAAGTGTTGCTCAAGTGGGGAAGTGGGATGCAGCAGCAGGCGTGATGTATGCCTCCTGCTGGGACGCAGGGCAGGGCCCCTCCCATGTGTTTCCCCCACCCCTGTTTCTCTCCTAGGACGGCCAGCTGGGAGATGCACATCCTTGCACCCACTAACAAACATCGATCACAGATATTTTTAATGTTCTTGTGTAAAAACTAGCTCGGGGGCTTCCCTGGTGGCGCAGTGGTTGGGAGTCCACCTGCCGATGCGGGGAACATGGGTTCGTGCCCCGGTCCGGGACGATCCCACATGCCGCGGAGCTGCTGGGCCCGTGAGCCATGGCCGCTGAGCCTGCGCGTCCGGAGCCTGTGCTCCGCAGCGGGAGAGGCCACAGCATTGAGAGGCCCGCGTACCGCAAAGAAAAATAAAAATAAAAAAAAAATAATTCGGCTACCAGAAAAAAGCACTTCCTTCCTTTGCTTTTACTGCAGCCTGTTCTCTCCTCTGGAGAGGGGTCATGGGCGGGGGAAGGGCCTTCTGCTCTGTCTTTGGTGTCCTGAGCCGATGGGAACAGCACGCCCAGGGCTGTTTGCTTTAACCAGCCTGCCTCTTGTCCCTGCAGAGTTACGAGGTGAGGAGTGTCCTTGGAAAGGAGGTGGGGCCGATAACCTGTTTCGTCCGGTCCATCACCACCCGCCCGGCCAGCTGCGTGGGATTGGAGGAGGTGGAACTCCTGAGCGAGGGGGGAGCCTCTTCAGCACACCGGTGGCAGCCGCAGGATCCGTGAACTTTACAAAGTGGCTGCCGGTGGTGGTGGTTCGGTAGTTATTTAACTCTAGTGAGTTAAAGAATGTACTTCTTGATCTTGAAGTGGGGCTTCGATTGGGGCAAGTGTTAGTCAGATGGAAACTGTAAACCAAAGTATTTCTTTCTGCGATGAGATATACTTTTATTGCCTTTCTGCAAATTTAGGAACACGGTAGAGCTTAAATAAGATTGAGGTTTTCATTTTGTATTTACCTTAGACAATAATATAGTAGAAAAAGTTATTTTGTTCTACTGTAATTCTAAAGTGTTCAAATTTTACAATGATTCAACGTGTTTTTCTTATATTTCTTTTAACATTTCCCCAAAGAATTACCCTGCCGAGTGTAAACCTTTGTCCTCTATCGTCATATTACTGCTCTGCACAGTGTCCAGCCTAAGCGTTCTGCAGTTCAGTATTTTTTTATAATGTTCTGGGGAACTATGTCAGAGGTAAAACTGTTTCCCATAAAGTACAGAGAAAGTGACTGGCCTGATTGATGGTAGTGGCTCCTTACGGAGAGACTGACAGGTCTGGTTAGTCCTGCCGGGCACTGCGCAGGACTATGCCGCCTCAGGAGAGCTGGGGAATCTGGGGAATCGTTCACCTTGTTGGCAGAGATCTGAGTTAAAACTAAAGCCATGGATTAATCTGGACACTATAAAGATTTTGCGTTTCCTCCCTTATGACAGTGTAATCATGACAGGCCACGGTTAACTAATTACATAACGTAGACGTAGCAGCCAAGACCAAGGGAGGCTGCCTAGTACCCACTCTCATGGGGGAAAGGCAACGGCTTTATTTATTCGTCCAGATTCAGCTTTGAGGCATTACCAGTACCGGCAAGGTAGCCGATTTTAAGTAGCTTTGTGACTGTTCTTTCCATCTCCTATATGACTTCTGTACTTTATGCACTTTGAAAATCTACTTGAAGCTGTCTACAGGACTGAGGGAAGTGAAAGCAAATCCCATGAAAGCCAGAATGAGTGGGACTGGTTTTCGGATAACCTGAGCCCTCCTCTCCTTGCCCCCGACTCGAGGTGGGACCCGCTCCGGCCGTTTTCCGACACGTTCCCGGGGCGCCTTCCACCCGAGCGGGTCTCGCTCGGCAAGTTAACCGGCACGTCCGCAGGTGGAGTTTGGCCTGTTGGAGAAGCAAAGCGACGGTCCTTCCAGGAACCCGGCCCCGGGGCGCACACCAGCCAGACGCGCCCTCGCGCCCTCCCCGGCCAGTCCGGAGGGCCGCGAGCGCAGGAATCAAGGTGGGTCTAACACGCCTTTATTCTTACAAATACTGTAAAAATCAGTATAAAAAAGTGAGCATGCTCAGTCTTTTCCTCGTATCTACAGTACAAAGGTTTGTCCGAAAAGTCTCTTTAACGAATGTACCTTAGCTGCCTCCTCGGGCGTAGGATGCAGAGAAGCTGCCGTCACAGTAACTTAGGGTCCACGCGGCAGCTGTCCGAGTCCCGGCCCCGCCCGGGGGTCCGGCCCGGCGGTTCCAGGCACTGCGGCCGCAGCCCGCACGCCCCCCGCGTCACCGCGCGTCCGCCGCCCCCGCGCCGGGCAAGAAGGGCGCGCCGGGCAGCTGCTTGAAGAAGCGCCGCAGGCCGGCCAGGTCCCGCGTGAGCTGCTCCACGCGCTGCTGTAGCTTCTCGTTCTCGGCCGAAAGCTCCACCAGCTTCTGTTGCATCTCCTGGTTGCGCCGCTTAGCCTTGTCGCGGCTCTTGCGCACGGCGATGTTGTTGCGCTCCCGCCGCTGCCGGTACTCGGGGCTGCCGCGG